CGGCGGCCGAACGGGCTGCCCGCAATGAGGCTCGGCAAGAGCGGGCGCCGCTCGCCCGGGAAGCCTCCAGCCGCGGCCTGGAACTACAGCCCCCAGGGGCCTCCGCGGCAGGACCTCGTGCGCCTGCGCGTCACCTCGCATGACCCACTCCCCCTCCCAACTTCGGCTGTGGGAGGGGAGACAGGAAAGGGGTGGTGGGCGTGACGTGTCTGAAGTGCGACGAGCCTGCGGGTGGTGACGCACTTTGTAGGCACCTATGGGCGGATGCGGGATTGGAGGCTGCTGAGAGTGGCAAGGTGAGGGTGAGGCTGGGCCGGGGCCTGTGAAGCCATCCCGGTGGCTGCGGGTGGCGACCCCGGCGGGTTTGCTCGGCCCCTTCTGTGGCTCACGGGGCACTGCGCGTAGCGAAGTCCCCAGCATCCTCCGTCAGCCCGGGTGGGGGCTTGGGAAGGCCCCGGCTCCTTGACTGCCCGGCTAGCCTGCTCGGTTGAGAGCGCCTGCCTGTCCCCAGAGGTTCCCTATCTTCCTTCAGCCGACGGTAGTGTCTGCTGCTCCCGCCAAGGGGGACCTGCCTGGGAGCAGGGCCATAGTCCCAAGCGAGGCAACCCAGAACCGAGGCAGGCAGGATCTGGTGAGTTCCTGCATGTCTCACCACAGGCACTAGCTCTACTGAAACAGCAAGCTGTTCAGCTAGGGTGGGTGTGGTCCTGTTTTAAAACCCACTGTCCCCTGTCCATTTGTTAATGAGGAACAGACTGCAGAAAGGCTTGTTTTTCAGTTCATCAGTAGAGATCTATGTCAATCACTTGTCCTCTCAATTCTGCTTGCCGTCCCTAGAGCCAGGGCAGTGCACAGCCAGGAGGAACAGGGCTCTCAGCCAGGAAGAGGAAGGTGGACTTCCTCCGGTGGCCCCACCCCTTGCTGCTGATTGGCCAAGGGAGCTACCCCTAATCAAAGAGATGTTTTGTATTCTGGGCATGTGTCAGTGGCCACCTTATCTTCAGGGGAGCAGCTGCCTTTGTTGCAACCCAGAGGCCTTCATGCCTAGGTTTTGACCTGTGTGTTTAACTTAAGCTGCATGCTTAGCTTGAATTGTGGTCAAGGCTTGCACCCAGTAAAAAGGAGCAGATGGAAAAATACTGTCCCTAACTTAAATCAGAAAGTTGGCGAACTAAATTGAATAAATACAGCATAGGCAAAAGAGGAACAGTCAAAACAAAACTTAGCCACCTCCTACCAGCTAGGAATGAAAAGATTACCTCAGAACAGAAAATTCCAGTTAAGGCTAGCCATATTTGGCAAACAAAAGCAAGATGATTAATATGCATTAGGGGGGAGGCTTAAGATAATTTTGTGTATTAACAAATGCAAGCTATCTGGTATGTAAAGCTCCTGGTGAGAGAATGTATATTTCTGAACCTACTCCTGAAAGATCTGGTTGCTGATCCGAGATTCAGAACTTCAGATGAAGGAGTCAGGAACCCTGGACAAAACCTCATGGACCGGCCATCTAGTGACGTTTCATTCATTAAGTTTTAGGGTGGTGAGCATGTTGTATTGCTTTCAACTAACTAAAGTAATAGAATTGTAACTGCTAAAGGATTAATAAATTCCTTATTGGTTAAGGAGTAACCATGTCCTAGTTTTGGAATTAATACCTGGTACGAGGCCCAGTTTAACACTACTCAACATATAATGCCTTGTCTGTACATCTTGTAACACTCTTATTTAGGGTGACCATAAGGAAATCCAGGACATCTGAGCCACTGCTTCCCCCCTCCCCAAGTCGGCAGGCAGCGGTGTGGGCACAGTCTGATGTGGAGATGGAGCTGCCTGGCACACCATGCCTCCCTACCTGACAGTGCCTGTGATTCAGGGACTCTTGTTTTAATTTTTACCACCCAGCTAGGACTGGCCTTCGAAATCTGGGACTATCCTAGTCAAACCAAGACATATGGTCACCCTACTCTTACTGTCTTTAATTGTTTATGGTAGTAACAGCTAGAGATCTCCCCAGAAAGGGGTCCATCCCATTATGCCAGATAATATATGTAATGTAAAGGTGACTAAATGAGACCCTGGCCTGAGGAGCTTTATAGTCGAAATAGATAAGGTCTGTAGGATGAGTGGAAGGGGTATAATAGAGAAGAGCAACCAAGGATATGTTTTGAGGGGCTGCATGGATCTTGGGAAAGGAAAGTGAATGGAGGGAGATCCTAGGGGGAGGAGGGCAGAGGAAGAGAGGGAGATAAAAGGCACCGTGGAGAGTGTTTTGTGATAAAATGGGGAGGGGGCAGATGGAGGTTGGCTGAAACAACAAAGTTCACACAGGGCAGAGAAGACCCAGTAGAAACAAACAGCAATGACAAACTGTCTGTTTGTCCGTTGGTCCTAGCTTTAGTTGCTTCCCTCAGCTCTTTTTAGGGCTTTGTGTTGGCTCTGTCTTTTGCTGTCGTGTTTTTCTTGTAAGGCTACAGGCAGTGAGGGTACTGCTTGGTTTCTTGTATTCCCAGGCTGCAGGGCTGTGCCAGTTTCTTCCTTGACCAGTTCTGGCTTTTGGGTGGATGGACAGTTGTGGGGTATGGATTGGTGGATGGAGTGGCTGGGGTACCAGTTATAATAGTCTCATTTGTGGCGCCTCAAGTCTATAGTCATGCATATTATTCACTTACTGCTTTTGGAAGATGCAGTGTTCCTTATGGAATTTCTGATTTGACTTTGAATTTATTTCCTTTTAATAAAAATATTGTTACCAATTATCTGTCCTGTTCTTTGGTGGTGGTAGACTAAAAATCATAGTGAATGTTGTCCGTGCCTAGTAACATTTAGAATTTCTACTGCAATAGCGTTGTAAGGGCCCAAACGGGATGAGATACCTCTATACTAGCTGCTGCTCAGACATAGGATTTCACCCTGTTTCAGAACTGACCTCTTCCTGGAGCTCTGAAAACGTTGCATTTTCTTAGCATATTGTTGCTAAAAAAGGCTAAGAAAACTGATTAGTATCTTCAAAAAACATTGTCTGCTGTATTGCAAAAAGAATTATTTAGAGAGGACTACACATAAATTGTGAACATAATGCCAGTAAGAGCTCCTTTTGTCTTCCAAAGAGATGGGGATTTATTATTAATAAAAATAATAATATTTGTTATCAACTTATTGATGCCAAATATGCAGGACTGCACTTTCAGATAAAGTAACATATCTTCTGGGTGGTCTACTTAAATTGTGTTACAAGGCATGGATTATGTATTTCCACATGAAAATAATTTTTGATCAGAAGCATCACCAAATTGATAGGGATTATATCAAAATACCACATTTACTTGAATACAAGATGAGGATTTTTCCTTAATTGGTATGGAGAAAAATACTTATTGCATACAGAGAAATCTCACTAACTATGTTGTTTATCATTAAACTTGCCAGAAGCAGCATGCGTCTGGCAATAGAAACCAATATGAACTCGATTAAATGCAGCCAGCACTGAGCATGACTGCAGAACACGTGGCCCACGTTGGGCAAACATGCTGAACCTACCACAAAAATATATTAGCATAGTCCATCTGAATAAAAACATATGGTAGTGCCCATTAAGTGCAGTTGTCATCACTGCTGACTCTTTTTCAAGTGATGGTGAGCCACAGCATTGTATATAGTTCTCCCAGAATCCTTCTGTTGGCCCCTTTTCTCAGCCTGGTGCATATGACTGGTGTGGCCCAGCCCTCCATCAGGTGAAGCCAGACCTGGTTGCCCTGTGCCTCACCTGCATATACATTTTTGGAGCATCCCAGCAGTTGTGACAACAACGCCTTGTTCTAGTCATTGGGGGGCAAATTAGCACATGGATGCTTTGGGTGACGGTATCTGGAGTATACACACTTGCTTAGCTGTGGGGCTACTGTGGCTTGAAATACTGTTGACTGGGGCTCAGCCCAATGAACTGTATGGGAAATCATGGGACTTCTTTGGCTTTGGACCCATATTATGCATAGTTTGTATTACATATAAGTAGGTGTCAAAGTGCTGCTCAAAAGTGTGTCTATGGAGTACCTATACTAAAACTTGCAAGCAGTTTAAAAAAAAAAGGTAATATGCATCAGTTCTGGATGAACTAAATGCATGGGTACTATATGCAAATTGCTACAGCCATGTTTAACGTCAAGGTTATTGTTTCCAAATTTGCTCCTCGTTTCCACGTACTCAGGGAGAGTGGGTCTGACGGTAAGGAGAAGGGGATGGGGCTGTCAGGGGAAAAAGTTGGGGGGGAACAGAGAGTGAAGGGCTATCTGCCCCCAGATTTATTTCCCCTGATGTATCAGTGCTAGGGGGACAAATTCAGGGCAAATGTTGAAATTTAGGCAAACCTTGACAAATTGGATTCTACGTATGGAAAATGATAACAAATTTATAAATTTTACATATATAGAATATAATGTGGGGGTTGGGATGTTGTCCTATAATTGGGGTAGTCTTCTATTCAAGTAAATATGGTAATTTTTTGGTGAAAAAAGACTTTGCCTCATCAGGTCATAAAATAATATAATAGGAGTTAATAATAGCTTTTAATATTGATCATTACTGTTTATTTTCTTCATAGCCAAAATGGATTGGGAAAAATATTGCTGCTGCTTGTTCAAAATAAAGAACATGCTAATTAATAATACTGGTAGTTGGACAAAATGATGAATAGCTCTTGATTAGTTTGGCCTCTGATTAAAACTTCTTTACTTATCTAAGTTTATATTTATTCCCAACTGGAATGCACCCTCCCCCCGCCATAATTTTTTTGAATTAAGTTCTGAAGAGATTGGTTTCTTTATGCATCTGAAGAGTGTATGTTGTATAATAGACCAGTAATGGCAAATTACTTACTTTAGAACACACTGATGCAGTAAAATTAAGGTAAAGATCTTTTCCCTCTTGAATACTCAAGGACTTCATGCTTAGGTGTTTGACTGGTCAAAAAATATTTAGTCAGTTAATCGGTCAAATATTCTTAAATGCTTGTAAAATATTTTAAGCATTAGTATATTGGAACACTAGAGAGGCACTTTAATCTTCAAGAGGTTAAATACTTATGAAAATAACAAAACACAAGTTGGTTAACTTAATGGAAAACAAAGTAATGGAACGATTATAACAAACAACCTTAGATAAGTATAAATGTGAAGGATATTCAAGGCAGAGCAGTACTTCTTTGGCTTTTATCCCAGAACCCCAGGGTCAGCACAAATAGTTACAAAGTAAAGAAAAGAAATTATACAGAAATAAAGTGCATACAGTAACTGTAAAA